ATAAAGTTTCGTCGGAACGAAGTTACGGAAAGTTAATTAACAAACGGAGATGTAACAATACTATTGATTAATTTGTGATCCTACGAACTGTGGTAACATTGTCCTAAGTAACATCATCCACCTGTACAAACACTATCCGCCTATGTAAGATGCACACGATAGATATGTTGTTGTTATTTTTAGTTAGTTAAGCACAAACCTGCACAATGGGCTATCTGTGCTATGCGCACCACTGGAATCGGAACCCGTTTCTAGCGCTGTAAGTCTGCAAACATACCACTCCGCAACTGGGAGGCCGATATATATGCAAAATCTATAAAGTTAATAAGATTAAATTAGCAGATTTAATGTATATTACTGATAAAGTGAAACAGTAAAAACATTGTTAAGTAAATTAGGTTAAATTATTAATTTTAAGACTTTAATTGTTACTATAAAGTTGATGTCATGTTGATCTACACCATGTTCCAGTGGTTTACTCGCGAACTATCTGCATGCTCATCATTCAAGTTGTGGTATATGTCTCCTGGTCATTCAATTGGGAATATGCTACAACAATTTAAACAACAGGAAATAATAAAATATCGATAACAGCAAAGAGTAGTCATGGCAAGTAGTCAGGGTGGAGGGATACGATTGTTTGTTTGTTTTGAATTTCGCGCAAAGCTACACGAGGGCTATCTGTGCTAGCCATCCCTAATTTAGCAGTGTAAGACTAGAGTGAAGGCAGCTAGTCATCATCACTCACCGCCAGCTCTTGGGCTACTCTTTTACCAACGAATAGTGGGATTGACCGTCACATTATAACACCCCCACGGATGAAAGGGCGATCATGCTTAGTGTGACAAGGATTCGAACCCGCGACCCTCAGATTGTGAGTCGAGCACTCTAACCACCTGGGAGGAGGGAGTTCGAATGTTTGGGAACTGCTCCTAGACTATAATAACTAAAATCAGCATAAAACATATTTTTATTACTTCCTTATTCAGAGATTGCAAGTAACTAAATAAAATAAAATATAACGTGAAAACATGGGGCATTTGGCATTCACCTTGTTATTTAAAATATGGCAAAGTCAGTTTTTTATGAACATATTTCCACCGATGTTTTACCATTAAGTCTGCGGACTTATAACTCTAAAAATTAGGTTTCGATACCCACGGTTGGTAGACCACAGGTAGCCCTTTCTGTAGTTTCGTGTTTAACACGAAACAAACAAAACGAAAGTGTAATTTCAATTTTTTCTCAAATGCAGTAATTTTGGTGATGTGCTGGACTTTTCAGCTTTTTGAGTATTATATATATACATGGCTTATTTTCTATTGAGTAATATTTCTTTTAGTCGTCGTCCTTTCGTCTTTCCGCATGGTGTCCATATTATCCTTCAGTAGTTTTACTATTATTATACTTTTATAGTATTAGTTGTGTTGATGGCGTTTTTAATTGGGGCATACCCTAAATATTTTGACTGTCAGTACAAGTACCCTTAAAATTTTAATTTAAACAGAGTAAATTTTTAGCGTGGTTACGACAAACGTAACAAACTTGCAAATACTTTCACTATCAGTATCATATTGAAAGCATAAGGTTGGGCGAAAGCCCCAGGACAATCTATTGCATTAACTTGAGTTTGAGTTTAGAATTTTAAGGCCTATTTTATTTATGTCCAAAATCTCTGTTCCAGCAGCTTTACTAGTCCCAAGATACAACAAGTTATGTAATTATCAAATACATATCCAGATTCCCAATGAAATATATAGAGGAAATAGAAAAAAATATTTTTACACCAAAAGTTATCACGGAAATAAGACATCCAAAAACATTCATGAAATAAAGGTAGGCCTAAGGTAAAAAAAAATCAAAAATTTTATGTTTATTAATGATTAATATTGGCCACTTCTTTATAAATATAAATTTGTTTGAACTTAGGAGTGCTTAGCTTTAGAAAAAAAAGAAAATATTTTGATAAGGTACCACATAAAAGATTGGCTAAAACTAGTAAAAATAAAATTAAGAAAATCGCATCGTAGGCGTTGAGGGAAGAGTGTTAATAAATGGGTTGTATTTGTACACGAAGAGTAGTATTAATACAAAATAATACTAATAGCATGGAAGGGAGCAAAAGCTTGTTACTTGTGGAACCCAGTCAAACTGAACTCTTTTTATCAGTGGAGTATCTCAGGGGTCAGTGCTGGGGCTTTTGTTTTCTTTTAATTTATATTGATGATATTGATTGGGGACTGGATCAATGATCTGTGCTTAAGATCTATCATGCCCTCATTTGATTCAAACTAGACTATAGGGCTCTGGCCTATGTTTCTGCAATAGCCTTTGCCTTGAAGATGTTGGACCTCATTCACCATCTGGGGCTACAGCTCTGCAGGAGGCTTTCTGCACTTTTTCAGTACAGCTTTTGTACACTGAGTCCCACAAACTTCCTCTTAACCTCCACTGTTTGCAACTTTCTCTGCAGTATGCTACTAAACTTTGTTCCTTACCACAGCATTCCACCTGGGTTTGTGTCTTTCTTCCTCAGTGGGCTATGATCTTTCTGAATAGAAGGTCTGTCATTGTTCTTCTTTGCTTCCACATCCAGGTGCAGCTGACTGAACTGGGTCTATCATTGGATGATGTTGCTGTCTCCAATGATCAGCCCATCCTGCCATGGCTTATTACCATCCCCACTTGTGACCTTTCTTTGAGTCATCTGAGGAAGGCAAATACTCTCAACTGGAAGTACTGTCTTCTCTTTGCAGAACATCTTTTAAACCATTCTTCTGTTTCTGTTTTTATGGATGGTTTGAAATCAGGTGATTTTGTGACCTCTGCCATGGTTTGTTGTAGCTTGATGGTTGGTCATAGGATCCCCTCTACAGTTTCTTTTTCCACTGCTGAGTTGTATACCATTTCTCTTGCCATGGATCACAAAGAAGCTATGCAGTACATTGATTGTACCATTTACACTGACTCTACTCTCTACTGGCCTTGGAATCACTTCATGATAGTTCTCACCCTCATTTTTCTATATCTTCTGTTTTCCATCCAGTGTTTCTGGATACCTGGCCATGTCAATATTCACAGGAACAAGCTCATTGACTCTTCAGTTAAGTCCGTCTGCACTGGTGCCATCACGGCCATGCTTGTCCCATATATGGACTACAATCCTCTCTTCAAGGTTCAGCTTCGCACCAGTTGGCAGTTGGCTTGGGATGAACAAGATCACAACAAGCTTTTTTATATTAAACTTACTGTTGCTCTCTGGACATCTTGTTTCTGTAAGGGTCAGGAGGAGGAAATTGTTTTGGCTAGGTTACACATTGGTCACAGTTTTTTAACTCATCATTTTCTTCTATCTGGTACTGACCCACCATTGTGTAGCCTTTGTCAGAATAGCCCACGTTTTACTGTCATGCTATCATAACGATCATAATAGGCAGCACCATTTTTGACATGTACTTTCTAAGGTTTTACCCCTGAGATTGGACAGTGTCACTGGGGATGGTGACACTGTCCAATATGATTGTGTTTTAGCTTTTTGTGGGTTATTTGTGGCCTTTTTAATTCTAGTTAAGTGTTTTTACCTGGTTTTTGACCTTATATATTCTTAAACTTGTTTTATTTTTACATTTTATAATCTTTTACTTTTGAGATTTCTACCTGTTGTTTGCCACAGATTGCCTCTTTGTTTTGAGCCATAAAATGACAAACAAACAACCTTACGCCATCCAAGCAGTGTGCTGTTGCTAGTGGTAGGGCAAAAAGGATTTTTGATTGTATTTACAGAAATTTTGAATAGAAGTCTAAAGAGGTTATAATTTCATTGTATAGGTCACTGGTTAAGCCACATTTGGAGTATTGTATTCAGTTTTGGGCTCCTTACCTTAGGAAGTACATTAAATAGTTGGAAAAGGGTTCATAGGAGGGCTACTACAATGGTGCCTGGGAAGGAAGGTTTATCATATGAGAAGAGATTAAGATCTTTGAAATTGTTTGTACTTGAAAAAAGAAGAGTTGGCAGGGATATGATTGAGGTGATTAAAATTGTAAAGGGAATTAATAGTGTTGATGCATCATCTTTTTCCATACTTAATAGTGAGAATAGTAGGAATTTGGGACACAAATACAAATTTTGGCAGGGTAGGAGTCATCTTCAGCTAAGACAAATTTATTTTTCTAACAGGATAGTTGGCCTTTGGAATTGGTTGCCTTCAGCTGTTGTGAAGACAGTAAATTTAAGTGATTATCGAAACTCTTACACACGTCTTAAAATTATAAAACAGTCTGAATTACAAAACATAATTTAAAGTTTGGCAGTCACGAATAGCTGAATCAAATAATTCTTAAAATTATAAAACAGTCTGAATTACAAAACATATTTTAAAGTTTGGCAGTCACGCGTAGCTGAATCAAATAATTCTTAAAATTATAAAACAGTCTGAATTACAAAACATATAATAAAAATTGCTGGTGATGTTATTACATGAAAATTCCTTACAAAAAATAAAAATATTAAGTTTTGGACATAAAATACCTTTTAGCTCTAGTTACAATTTTCATTTATCTGCACATTTGGAAGAGTTTTTATCAGATTCACAGAAATGACTGAAAAATTAACAACTATTTTCCAACACCTTGTTTATCACAGCCTACCACGAAAGAATCTTGGAAACTGCAAAGAATCATCTCAAAACATTTCCCACGATGCCTCATGATTAGGATACACATGAGGAGTCTTGGTGGTGCCGTAGGGAAAGTTATATTAGTTACCTGAAGATGTTAAATTTAATTATTATTGGACAGGTCATTCCTTCCAGGTTAATTTATATTCATATCATATGAAGGATGTTTAATGGATATCAAAAAGGCTGTGACGAAGGTTAGATTTTGACCATTGAAAGTTCAGATGCCAAAGGTTCCAACCTTCAACTAATTTCCATAATAACATAACGTTTTGGGACAACATGGGACCTATTGGTCCATCTTGGCTGTTCCATCCTCTAAACTAAATTAAAATAATTAAATAAAAGAAAAATATTAAAGCCAGCCCTTATCATTCATATACTTATCAAGCTTTCTCTTAGTAGTTACTACATTGTGTATTCTTTCAAGAATACATAAAGTGTGTAAGAGTTTTTAAACAAAACTCTTACACACGTAGTTACTACATTGTGTATTCTTTCAATAATACATAAACAAAACTCTTACACATATAGTTACTACATTGTGTACTCTTTCAAGAATACATAAACAAAACTCTTACACACGTAGTTACTACATTGTGTATTCTTTCAAGAATACATAAACAAAACTCTTACACACGTAGTTACTACATTGTGTATTCTTTCAAGAATACATAAACAAAACTCTTACACACGTAGTTACTACATTGTGTATTCTTTCAAGAATACACATTGTGTCTTCTTTCAAGAATACATAAACTGGCCCCATTCAGACCTATCCGACGATCCCTGAGAATACGGATGGAACCGATTCTGTGAACCAACAGGACGAGGTGTCGAATGTTGGGGCTGTGAGACACGAATTGTCAATCCTCCAGAATTACCTGTTGGAGTAAAAGAGAAGTGAGCCACCAATGACGATAAAGAAGACTACAAACGGCTTCAAAAGTTTCAGGAACTCCCGTAAACTATTAAGGCCGAAGAAAGGGCATCTCCCATAAATCACGAGGAGTTGTGGATATCAAACGAATACCTTCCAACATGACATCTCAGTTCATTAAGTCCCAGGTACAGACCAATCATGACACCAAGGCAAGGGGACAAATGAGCCGTATGGGTAACTAATAAGGGTCTCAGTTGATCTTCATATTGATGTGGACAGTGTTGATATGCTTCTGACAGGAAGAGAAGTATCACAATACAGTAGTAATAGTCAAACAAATCTGCAAAAGTTAAAAGTGATAACAGGTTCTAACCAGGAACCCCATACATCCAACAACAGATCCAACCATTGAGTGGCCGGACAATAAGCCAGGGCATGTTGCTCTGATAAATGAAGGGGGCAAGGCATAGCAATATCCTCTCATAATTGTGTTGCAAACATCCAGGCATGAATGGCAATACCAGGAAAAGAAAAACTAAGTAATCCTTCCCCAAGGTCTATCTGACAACAAGGCAGAGGTAGACTCAACAGCAATGGGGTTAATCCACAAAACTTGCATAACTAAGTAAAGAAAAAGGGGCAGAAGATGGCTGATCAGATGAGCCATCAGTAGAGGCAGCCCTAGTGAGAAAAGGAGTAGAAAAAAAATGTCTAAATTCTCCACAGTATATTCATGTTTATGACGAAAAGCCAACTCTGAACCCTCCAGAGAGAAACCCCCCAGGCTGCATAAAGGACTACAACTTGCCTTGAATCCGGTTACATACAGTCTCCACCTAGAGTGGATCTCCCTCCCTGACTACCACCAGACAACAAAGGAGGAATGGATGAGGTCTGGTTAGCCTCCATACCAGAAACTGTTGTATGGTAATTTATACCTGCAAATTTTTGTTGTTGTTGTTGAACCACAGAGAAAACCAATGAACTATCAGCAACAAGAAAAAACAACAAAAAAAACAACATTAGAATACTTCCAAATTTTACAGAAGAAAATGTGAACCACAAAACTTGATTACTAGTGCTAGTGCTTTGTCGAGAAAATGGGATTATAGATGTCTGCATACAGTACTTATATACAGTACCTGCATATAGGGTGTGTGAGAGATGGTGTAAAGTTTTTCAAATTAGAATTTGCCGAGAGCATTTGAATGGGATATAAAAACTGGAGCAAGAGAACACAATGTTTAGATCAAGAAATAGCTATAAGTGTCAGC